GTAAGTACTTAAAAAATTTAGAGAGAGAAAATGTCTCAAAAATTTTATAGAGAGAAACTATATCAAAATTTTAAAGATATATGCTATCTCATATTTTAAGTTTTAGAGACAGAGAACGTACTTGAATTTTTTAGAGAATGAAACTATATCAAATTTTAAGTTTTATAGACAGAGTCTCAAATTTTTTAGAAAGAGAAACTAACTCGTATTTTAAGTTTTAGAAAGAAAAATATCTTAAAATATTAGAGAGACAAACTATATCAAATTTTAGAGAGAGAAAGTACTTAAAATTTTGAGAAAATTAGATACATATATGTTATATTTTTACGTTATTAGGGACATACCAAATAGTTTCCGTTATTACATGTCTGTCCGTTTTTTACCTTTTATAATGTAATTTTTTAAAAAAGATAACTTTACCCTTTTTCGGGTGTTGAATAACCGAATTGAAAGGTTTTTCGGATGTTCAACATCCGAAAGTAGCCTGAAAGTTTAACATTTACATTCTCATTTTCGGATGTTCAACATCCGAGCATCCAAACATCCGAAAATGTGAGTCCAACATCCAAAACCATTTTTGGATGTCCAATATCCGAAACCATTTTCGAATGTTCAATATCCGAAAATATGACAAAGAAATTTCAGAAGGTTTCGAGCTATTTTCGAACAACCGATAATAGGAATGTGAACGTTAAACTTTCGGGTTATTTTCGGATGTTGAACATCCGAAAAAGAGTAAAGTTGTATTTTTTTAAAAATTACGTTATAAAAGGTAAAAAACGGATATATATGTAATAACAGAAACTATTTAATACATCCGTAATAATGCAAAGTATGATAGATATTTACGCAATTTTCCTAAAAATTTTAAAGAGAGAAACTATTTCAAATTTCAAATTTTAGAAAGAAACTATCTAAAAAATTTTAGAGAAAGAAACTATATCAAATTTTAAGTTTAGGTAGAGAAAATATCTTCAAATTTTAGAGAGAGAAACTATTTCAAATTTTTTTATAGAGAAATTATCTCAAAATATTTAGAGAGATACTATCTTAAATTTAATAAAAAAGAGAAATTATCAGAAATATACTTTTATTTTTACCTAATTGGAAAAAAACCCTAGAGTATCATAAACCTCATCCACACTTTTTTTTTTTTCTGTTTTTATCAACGGTTTAAAAAACGGATCGGTGACCGGGATCGGGCTCCCAAAAAACCGATCCGGATCGGCGAATCGGCGATCCGGATCGGGAATCGGGTGAATCGGTCAGAATAAAGCTTCAAAAAAATCCGAAAAAATTATTAAAATTCATTATAAATATTGTTTTTTAGGAATTCAATAAGAAATGAGGGTACTCCATTGAGAATTTTCATGTTTTTGAATGAATATGCGAATATTGATATGTTCTTTCCCTGCATGAACCGCCATTCAGCATTTAATTTACATCACACAAAAGGATAAACATAGAATTATCATGGAATAAGTATATCAATATACATGGACTACAATAAAGCATAAAATTAGTAACATACGATCTAAAAATAAAATGATAGACGACGTTGTTGTTCTTCTTGGTCATGCTGGTGCCATTGATTGAATTCGTTTGACAATTCATTGATTCGATCTAAAAACGAATCATCGATATTAGCGGGCGTCTGACTATTTCTAAATCCCTGAGTGTTAGTGTTTTGTTGTGTTCCCAATCCAAAATCCCTGAAGCTTGTCCATCCTTCATGCTCACCTGCACTGTCGTGCTCATCTCTACACTGTTGCTGTTGGGACTCGATATGTGAATAATATGGCTGGGATAGGGTGGCCTCAGAATCATCATCTCTCTCATTTTCTCTTAGACCCCCTTCCCACTCTCCCTCATTAGGTGCAATATCACCGACATATTGTGGATACATTGGCTGGCTGCTTCCTCTTTCATGCTGCTCATCACTTTTTTCAATATCTTCATCACCGATAGCCTCAAGGAACGCTCTATTGTGCAACACTGGCTCTTCCTCTTCTACTACTTATTGGTCTGCTGTGTCTGTGACAAATATTGTGTCTAAGTCTATCAGCCCATAGTCTTCAAGCTTCCTTCTTATTTGTCGCTCTCGGAGGTTTAAATTATAATGAACGTAGACTAGTTTATGAAGCTTCTCAGAAGCGACTCAATTCCTCCTAGTAGTTTGCAACCATTGGAACGTACTCCAGTTGCGCTCACAGCCAGTAGCAGAACATGTCTGGGAGAGCACCTTGATTGCTATCCTCTTTTAGTGAGGTGCATCAGTACCATATATCTCCCACCATTCAACTAGATTAAAATGTAAAAAGCATTGTAAGGGCAAAAAC